CATTTTTCTTCACTAGAGCTGGCTACAAAATCGTAGAGTTGGCTCCTTGCACTTCTCTAAGGCTAGCTACAAAAAATCACAACCGACTCTCTACACCAATTTCAATATTTTAGTTTTTTTTTTAAGTGTAGTCCAAGTTCATTTACTCTAGCTAGCTTTCAAGTTATAAACTACATATAGATAAACAAATTAGTAATTCAAATGTGTCTTGTAATCATCAAAATCATAGGTACAACATTTATCATTGTGTCATCCATGTAATAGTGAACTATATTATCAAAAAGTTCTTCTTACAGTGCATTGCCTTAAGATCATGTCTAATAAGATTATCCTGCCAATATGGAAGTTATTAGAAAATTCTCTTCTTCACCTACTTGTGGATGTTTCCAAATCCCTCGATTGTTTGGTTTTCAAAGAGTTTGCTAGACAACACATCAATTAAGGCTTTGTAACTTTGTGATGTATTGAAACACCACCCAATTGAGGAGAGGAGGCCCAAATTCAACCTAACCCTTTAGAAAATTAGTCTTTTTTGGTAAAACTTTAGTCACATAAAATCTAAAAGGATATGATTGTGGTAAAATTGATGATGATAATAGAAAAAAGATGGTTTGTTACCCTTTTGAAGACAGAAAGATTGTGTCATCTCTAGGCATTGGACAAGTTGCTTATGTGTGCTCTAATTGGACACCATTTTGTAACTCAAAAAATCAATTATAACCCACATCAACATAGCACACATGATGAAATTTCACTTACGATAACTATCATACGTTTCAACACAACTTGACCATAACATTTTCAAGTATTCAATTAATAGTCAAAAGAATACATTGACATTTTACTTGAGCTTTTTAGACCTATAATGACCAAGGTAAAGGATGCAAACTCTAGCCCAAGCATATGTCTGATAGTAAGTTATAGACACTCAAAAAAATTGGCCAACAAGAGTAGGGTGTTGATGAATAACGCAACAGGTTGAATTAGTTAGTGGCAATACCCAATCAAACATTACGAGGTTCTTGTTCAAATGAAAAATGTATTTGATCAAAATGCCTCCATGCTTCTAATTACACTAGATGAATTACCTCTTTTGTTTCAACATGACATTTTACATGTCATGTAATATTCTCATGTTTTTAAAGATAAGTATAGCCTTTTAAAGCAACGTATTATTGGCCAGTATTTACAAAGAATTTCTCAGGTTGTCTTTCTATTGTTTCTTTCTTGAATTTCTCTATTTTTACTTGGCTTTCACACAAACTGGAAATATATTCAATGCCTTCATATGCTCCTTAATAATATGGGAAGAAATTATTAGCACAAGCATCAATCTTTAAATGACCTAACGCAAGTCCCTTTATAAACTTTTTTTACTTCATAAAAATTTTTAACTTTCTATTGATCTTCAACACTCAACAACCCTTTACATCCTTTGATGATGGCATTAAAATCACCATCAATTATATTATTTTCAATCTTAGTGTGCAACATGCAAGAGACCTGGCTGAGCACTATCTTATTTTTGTTAGAACTACCAAGTAGTATTGTAGATGTATGAAGCAAATTATAAAACATTTTAGCTTGATTATTTTGTTTCTTTTCCAGAGTTGACTAAGAAACTTAGCTTCCATGCATTTGTAATCACCATCCTCTAGACAAATCATAGTACACCATCTTATAGAAGTTGCTTGTGTCTTCATGGTGTACATCAATAATGTTTGATGACTCACCAAAATTAGCAGCAAACCATTAATTTGTTGAATCGAAAAATGTTTCATCATGCGCTAGTCAACCAGAATAAGCATTCATAAAATCATTATGAATAAGGTGATGCCATACAATTCCTTGAGGTGTCAATGGCAAATTCAAGCATTTATTATAAGAACATCTAATCAAATCATTGGGTCTAAAACTTAGACCACCATATGCAAATTGAAAATTTTTTTTGACTTCGTTGTAAAACTTGTCATATAAATTTCCACAAGGAGTTTGATATCTATACATCCAACATGATCATCCATCACCTTATTGAAATTAATTAATGAAATAAAATAACAGCATGACTAGTTCAAGATTGAATAAAATATTTTTCATATATTTCATTATTTATTTATTTAAATTAACATGCCATATCTTATATTAAAAGGATACTGTGTGTTAGTTCCAACTTTAAAAAAAAGTTAGGATTCTAACCTTAAATGATATAATTTTATTTAATTAAAAGCTAATTCAAAATTTAAAAATCTATATTATTAAATGTTGATTCCTATATTTAGAAACAAAAATCCAATTTAAAATTTAAAAATTTACTTTATTAGATGTTAATACATAGATTTGGAAACTAATTATATTAGAATGTATAATTAATTTTGAAAATCAAGTATCAACATTTAGTAATATGAATTTCTAAATTTTGAATTAAATATAATTAAATGAAATAACATTATTTAAGGTTAACTCTAATTTTTTTGGTAGTCAAGACCACTATACACTTTTCCCTTATACATATTAAACTATTCTTCAATTCTTAAAAAATAAATACTTTTATTAATATAAAATGTAAAAAATACAATATATTTTTTAAATAAATATTACTAAGCTGTTATATAAATATTTTAAATTCATTAAAAAAGAAAATTTTTCATTCACAAATTGATATATTTCTTTAAACAAAAGATAAATTTTAATTATAAAAATATAACATAATAGAAATCAAAATTACTTTGTCATACAGAGAATCAATGCTAATGTTCTATCACAAAATTCAATATCTACATATGTTATGCTCTAAAACCAAAAGTGTATAGATGTCATGTACATACAAAGACAATAGATGTACAAGGCTTTAATCTTCCTAATAGTTATTCACAAATTGAATAACTTCAAAATTATAACACCCCAAAATTTGGGCATGTCTTTCCAAAGAGGCTTTCTTATACTTAGCTCTCAAGATATGTGATAACAAATAGTAAATAGGGTTTCTCTTTAGAATATTTAAAATTTCTTCTTTATTTTTTCTCGTAGTTTTCTTCAACCAATTTTCTTTAGAGTATAAATAGTAATAAAAGTGGTATTGACATAATTAAATAGTAATTTTTAAGTGCATGCATTTATTAATCATTTCTCTTTAGCACAATATTCAATCTCTGAAACACAAAAAAAATTATGATAAAAGGAATTCAAACCCTCCAATTACAATCTTTATATATCAAACTCATAATTAATATGATCATTATTCTAAATTTGAAGCTTTATGGTACAACATAACCCAAAAGGAATAAAAGCTTTGTGACTCATCACGATGTCATCAAGATACCAAACTATATATTATGATTACCATTGGATGCCAAACTATTTTTTGATCTTGAAAGAATCAAATACTGATACTCCTATAATTTAGACTCTTCTATATATATGATGTATTTGTTGCTTTGATTCTCCCATTTAATACTATTTTTGAACTAAAATTTGGAAGGTATATAAATAGGTATATAACTTATTAACCATCATTAATAATCAATTTTCATTCTCTTAATTTAAAGAAATATAAATTTTTAGCTTCTAAGGATTTGTCCAAATCTAGCTTGTTAAGGGTTCTAGGGACTTGGTTCATCTTTAACCTTCTTTTCCCTATGGAAGTTGAGGTAAAACCTCCCAGTACTACTTTTAATCTAATCTTACTTTAGAAAAAAAAATCTAGTAGACTAATTTAAAGTAATTTATGTAAAACAAAAGACAAATGAATCCTTTTAGTTTTTATGTGCTAATCAATTAAGTTAGATGAATTTCATATACTTCTCAATTATTTTTTATTCACAACACTATTGCTATATCCTAACTTATCTTGTACTTTATTTTTTACCTAATATTTGGCATAAACAATACGGTAATTACCAAAAGGAAATGATAAGACAATTATTTAGAAAAAATTACTCTTTCAGTTGTAGCATTAGAATTAGACTCATAAGTGTAATTTTAACTTTGGTTCTTATCTTCACACATTATTTCTTTTTTCAATTAATAAAATATATAAATTTACTTAGCTCTATTCCCAACCTAGGAGAGTGTAGTAACTGTTAGCTTTTTAGTTTTTTATAATCAAGAATAAAATATATTATAACTTATGAAGCAAATCACATAACATAAAATAAATAGAAAGGTAGTAGTAAATCTTGTTAAAAGAAGAAATAGAATAGAAAAATCATTACTAAATTGATGAATAAAGAAAGTGTTAACTTTGTTTAGAGCATTTCAAATCCAATAGGCAACTATCATGTAAGGAGAAGATTACAGAGCATTAGGTAAAGGTGACAAAGGGTTTATAGTAAATACTTTCCCATAATCAGCACTACACCTATTATGAAAAATGAATTTTCAATTAGGAACATACAAAGTTATTAAAGTGAGGATTGCCTTATTAGGTTTGACATTGACATTGCCTATGATTTGTTTTTCTTCTTCTTCTTCTTATTGGCATTTGCTTTTGCATTGCTAATATATAAAAGTTTCTAATGAATTTGTTGATATTTTGGACCAATATATTGTAACTATACAATGGTGGTCATTGTTTCAATCTTAAATTGTTTTACATTTTTGTTAGGATTATTCTCATTTTATTTAGATATTTGGATGTGGTAGCTAATGAAATTTAAGTATTAAATTTTTTTCACCTTGATTCTACTTGCCAATATTATGTTTTTGTATTTTTTTACATAAGTTCTCTATATATTTAGTTGTTCAAAATTCTTCTATAGAATAATTATTCTATTTGTGCAACATGGGTGGTTGAGTGAAATATGCTTTTTTTACATGGAATACAAAAAAAAAAATGTTATGTTGTGTAAAAATGCTTAAATTTCCAAAAAAAGCCAAGCAATTGTCAAATATTTCTCCTCTAAAATAAAGCTATGATTCTTTGCCTTCTAATATTATTAGAAAAGTAATCTCGTGTCTCCACTATCTTTATTTTTGAAAATATGAAATTTTAAATTGTAACATTTACTTTTTCAACCATAAAATTTTAATTAAAACTATACCTTCATTAATAAAATTCTCACTTCAAATCCATCAAATAAAACCTTCAAAGAAACTTCTTTTCATAATTATTACCATCTCACTTTGTCATAGTCTTATAACTTGTGTTAATATAAAAATATTATAATTTTATAAATACTTTATACAAATACTTACCTTAATGAAACAAATTGAGCCAATATGTAGTGCACATAGATAAAAGCCAAGTTCCTCAAACTAAGCAAACTTTTATGGAAACAAATGTTGGTAAATCAAAATTTTTATGTTTAGTAAATTGAAAACATCTTATCTTATAATACATTCAATCAATCATTTGACAAAAATAGCCGATAATAACTAATACAGATCACACAAAAATACAATTCACATTTGAATTCAAATTTAACACAAACCTTCCAATTATATAGATTTTTTTTTTCCCAATGATATTAGTATCCACATTTCTTCAAAAGAAGGAGGATATCACATTTATGTACTTGGTTCTTATTACATCACCTTCATTGTCATCTTTTTTTTCATTATCTCCACTAAATTGGAATACTTTGAGGGAGCAAATTCACAAGACTTTTCCATACCCTATAGTGATTAAAAAGGGCCAAAATTGAAATTTCCATCAATTGTCTAAAAATAATTAAAAAATTGGTGATTAGTACTAAACATTGTAATAGAAAATGACAAAGCTCAGCTTCTGAGCCAAAAGTGGGAGAAAGCTTTATTTATTAGTTGGAAATAAAGATTATATTTTGGCATTTTAGATGCCAAAGCTTAATTTCCTTTGATTTAGTGGGGTATCTTCTCTTGCTAGTTGTTTGCTTTACATACCCTATTGAAGGCATGATGTACCAAACTTTTCTCCAATCTCCAAAGTAAAGATGCTAATTGTAATTACATTTTATTTTCTTTTCTTAAATTCCTTCATATTTAAAAATATAATTTTTCTTCATAAAGTAATAGTTAACAAAGTAAAGTAAAGACATTGGAGCAAGTATCAAACCAAATTCATTTGCAATAAAACACACTTTTGATGCACTTTCTAAAGATATTCTAACGCATTATCTCTTGATTCAAGTGCTTTGAAAATTTCTAAAATTAAAGAAAGAGGAAAAAATAAAAAAATTGGACACTTGGTAAAACATTGGTTTAGATATATTAGGTTTACACTCATATATACATGTTCAAACATATTTAATGTTTCTTTTAAAAATATATAGAGGTGTTGTTACCTTGAGCTTGTGTTGTTTTTCCCCACTTTGGCTATTGCCATTTGTAATCACATCCTCGGCTCCTTGCCCACCTTCCTTTAAGACATGGACCCAAAGTATAGTACCCATTGATGCCTTGAAGGTGGATATGGTGTAACACCTCATATACTTTAGTGAGTAGATTAGAAATTAGAGTACTTTATTTTAAAGTTTTAGGGATTAAATTGATTGGATTTAGAATTAGGGGTTTTAAGTAGAATTTAGTAAGAGTTAAAGGGTGTTTAACTTCATTATTCCAATTTTGTGCCAAGTGGCACTATATCAACCGAGTAAAACAATTTTGTTGGACTTAGAATAGAAGCCTTCCTAACCTACCATTCTTTTGCATCTTTCCTCCTTATTCCAAATGGTCCCCTGCACTCTTCTTTCTTTTACAATTGAGTGTGATGTGTGGGGACGCACTCTCTAGTTGAAATTACTTTAAGGGCCTACGAAAGTGAGTTATGTTTTATTTTTGTTTCTTTTATCTTTTTATTTTACTCGAGGACGAGTAAAACTTAAGTCTGGGGGAATTTGATGAGCTAAATTTATATACATATTAATAGGGAATTTTTACTTTGATATTATTGATATTTGGATGAGTTTTATGGGATTTTATTTGATTTTACATGGTTTTCATTCTTTGTGTAGGAAAGGATTTAATTGGAAGAAATCCTACTTTTTAGAAGTAAATTGAAGAGA